ATTGATAAACTATTCTATTTGAGATAAAGTTGCATGATATGTATTGAATACACTACCGTTCTTCATCATTGTAATGTTTTAGATATAAAAAGTTTGTTTCTATATAAAATACAATGGATTACTATGTTATAACCATGTTTTCCTTTTACTTTGTTTTTCAAGTTTAGTAAAGAAGAATTAGGCCTTCAAGAATATTGTTTGAGACATATTTATAACCATGTTTACCTCTTACTTTGTTCTTCAGTTTGGCATGGACTCAATTGTGGTGAAATAGTTGACTTTTACCGACATGAAAAGACTAAGGTCTTGCGCGAGAGAAGAGAACCGGAAGAGGTTTTAATCTTGTTGTTGTTGTTTCATGTTTTATTGACATAAGTTTTGTATCAGTACATATATATGTGTTTTATATTAGTGTGTATATGATTTTGTAGAAACAATATTTTGGACGTAAAGATTAGCATTTTAACATAAGAAAGGGGTTAATCGCCAATGTATTAGGGTTTATATTGTCTTAATTTTTGTTTAGTGATTAGCGTCCATACCCTTTTAATTGACAATTTATGGGGTTTATACAAAAGTATGAGATTAAGGTGAGAAAATGAAAAAGATTATCATAAGGAAGGGGTTAATCGGCAATGGACTGAGGTTTATATTTTCTTAATATTTGTTTAGTGATTAACGTCCATAGCATTTTAAATGTGGTTTATATTTTGATAGCATTTTAACATAAGAAAGGGGTTAATCGCCAATCTATTAGGGTTTATATTTTCTTAATTTTTGTTTAGTGATGAGCGTCCATAACTTTTTAAATGACAATGTACTAGTCACTTTCCTAACCTACCTCCTAATATCGTATGTAGTAATCCTAATTAATAAAAAAAAAACGGAATGGAATATATGAATACAAAAATGGAATGGAATGGATGATCTAGTTATAATGGAACAGAAATAGGTAAACTCTTTGCCAATTGGGTAGCATGCTAGTATGTAGGTGTTGGATTTTGTTTTGTGGTCTATACTATTTTGCTATATAGAATAGTAATACCTGTAAGTTCCATTCTCAGTTATGTTAACATTTGTTCTGAAACGTGTATACCTATTATCCATTCATTTCGCTGCATATTCTTACAGCATATGTGTTAAATACCGTTGGATTACATACCTTCTCTGTGATGTTTGTTCATTATATTCATTGTCTTTAGTTTGCAATTACATTTTCACCTCGTCCATTCTATTTGAATCATGTAGAATGGAAATGCATATGTCTTGTATTTTGATACTTAGTTTTAGTTTATGGAACATCTGAGTTAATATTGAATTAGGGTTTATATTTCCGTGTAGGTATAGTGATTAATGGATAGAGTTTAGTTTATACTCCCATGGTCGGTTTAGGAATGAATTTATGTTTAGTTTATGGAAGTTTGGGGTTTACATTAGGGTTTACATTTTCGTATAGAGTTCAGTGTCTAGTTGATATGATTCAGTTTATGTTTGCTTGGGGTTGTCAGCTGGGTAGCATGTTAGTACGTAGGTGTTGGATTTTATTTTGTGGTATATACTATTTTTCTATATAGAATAGTAATACATGCAAGTTCCATTCTCAGTTATGTTAATTTTTGTTTTGAAATGTGTATACTTATTAGCCATTCATTTTGCTGCATTTTCTGACATCATATGTGTTAAATACAGTTGAATTACACGTTTCATATAGGTATGTGATTGTTAATAGGGAATTCATATGCCGCAAAAAAATCACCACGTAGCTTACTATAAAAAGTGTAACTGGCTACCTGTTATGCAAAGGGACATAACCGGATGAATTATGGTCAAAAAGCATGACATTAAATTATGTCAAAATCAGTGCTACTCACCCAATTTGTTACTCAAATATGGTCATTTCGCCAATAAGCCCTATAATTATTTGATTTCAAATGTGTGTGAAAATTTATTAGCCAGAAGTAAGAACTACTATTAAATTTAGAGATAAAAGTTTTTTTTTTTTTTTGAAACACCGAGAGATAAAAGTCTAACTAACTATATATACTTCATTTGTTTCATTATAAATGTCATTTTAGAATTGAACATACGAATTAAAGCAACAATTAATTTTACATATTTCCTACAGAAAAATATAAGTACCTATATAGATAACCACATTTTAATCAATAAAAAATAAATTAAATAATAAAGTTAAATGATTTTGCATTGAAAACCAAAAACGACACTTATTTTGTAACGAAAAAATTCTCTACAACGACACTTAATATGAAACGGAAAGAGTATATAACGATTTGCTAAAAAGTTCTAAAATTTGATAATTCTAGAGTGTTAAAAATTATGATCGGCTTCGGATCCCATATAAATGTTGGCAAACTATACTAATTCTAGTTTACTAATAAATATTTTCATAGTTTATATCATTATACACATAGAAATATGATTAAATTTTTATATTTGACTAAAAACGAAGTTTAAATTAATTAGCAGAAACTAATTCTATATTTGGGTTTCAGATCTTCATTAGTGTTTTGTAACCACAAGTGTTTTGTAACCACAAGTGTTTATGCTCCTCTAGTTCCAAACCAAACTTAAACTCATCAGCTCCTTGTTACACGGAAGCTGACCGTATAAGCAAATATGACATAATCAAAACAATTACATATATTTTTCTTCTATTTTTTTCTCCCAGACATTTCCCCCTTTTTAATCGTTCTTGTGTTATTGGAACATGAATTTGCTATCATCAAGATGTACGATTCAGATGACAACTTCAAGATGGATCATAATTACAATGACATTGATGATGATGACAATGGGAGAATCGATGAGACTGGATCTGGAATCAGGCATCACCAAATGCATCTCCGACGACATCAAATTAAGTTATATGTCTGTAGGAAATTACTCCATCGTACATCCCAACGAAGTTCCACATCTTCCTGCTTCCCACAAAATCTATGTTACTGTAAGCATTTGTTATAATCCATTATTCATTTTTTGTTAATCCATTATTCATTACATGCAATGCTGTTAAAACTGGACCAATAAAAAAGTTTTGGGTCATGGGTTAATATTTCACATTTTATGTGTAAATATCTGCTCAGAACTCCTCGTTTAACCTTAACAGAAAAAGACTCACCGTTTACGTGAAAAATGTTTGTATATAAGGTGTCGTCACCTAAAGGGCACAGTCAGCATCATGCAGAAAATGTAGAGAGAGGCCAATTCGTCTTCACGGCGATGGAAGACGGAGATTACACAACGTGTTTTGTGGCTCCAGGTTTTAAACCTCCGGCCAAGTTTGCAGTTGATTTCGAGTGGAAAAGTGGCGTGGAGGCTAAAGATTGGTCCACCATCGCCAAGAGAGGCCAGATCAACGTAAAAACTATATATTTAAACCTTGTTTTTTGCTTGTTTATCAAACTATATATATATATATATATATATATATATATATATATTTAAACCTAGCTATTTAGTTTTTCTCCGATACTAAGCGCATGTCCATGATTCATCTAAACCAATATGTGTAACTTAATTTCAATGATGTTTATGCTCAGATGCTTGAGGTGGAGGTGAGGAAACTACTTGACGTGACGGAATCTGTACACGATGAAATGTTTCAACTCCGGGAGAGGTACCATTTTAAGATTTTACGTTTACAAACACACAATTTTACTATTTTTACAACTTAAAAGATTCATAAAAGTTTTATATTTAGACAATAATTCTGTACTTAGACATATTATAAAACCCTAAACGTCTTCTGACCAAAGAAAAACCTAAACATCAAGTCAAGTTTTATGATCATTCTTTGAAATTATATTCTAAGTAAAAAATCTATCATTTGATAATTTGACTATTCAAGTATTTCACAACTCACCCAACCATTTATTGTAAATCTAAATGTCAGCTTGCATGCTCATTTTAATTAGTAGGCAATAAAGTTGTTGAGCATTTGATTTACACAATCCAATTCATCCATTTAGGAAAAATAAAAACAATATATGATGAGTTTTTTTTGTAAAGTATGTATTTATAATTTTATATTATATGATGATGAGTTGTATATATAGGGAACGGGAAATGCAGGAGCTAAACCGGTCAACAAACTCGAGAATGGCAGTTCTAAGTATACTGTCATTGGTATTTACGTTGTCGGTAGCCGGTTTTCAGTTGTGGCATCTCAAGTCATTCTTGGAGAGGAAGAAGCTTCTCTAATCAAACAAGTTGTTTCTTTTACATTTATCAGAATTTTTTGTGTGTTCTCGGTTTAGCTTCTTTTGTACTAAAAGAATCAATTTCTTTGTCTTGAATTTTGAGAATTTTTCTGGTTATCCAAAGTAGTACTGATTAAAAGTCTTGCGTCTCATATTTAAACTTTTTTCTTTCTCTAACGGTTGCACAATAGCGGTGTACTCAAACATCATAAACATGAACTTTTAGGTCGGAAATTAAGATAGCAGGTTTCATTAAACCAAAAGACATCACCACTATATATAGAACTGATAATGAATATAACATGACTTGTTGATGTCTTAAAAAGGTGGCACAACTGCGAAACAATAAACAAAATAACAGCTGACAATTGACATAAACTTAAAGAGAGAAGTGTGCGTTGGTTTCTTCATTAGTGATGGAAAGCTTGAGAGATCAAGAAGGGGGTATTTAGTCATCGTATTCACGATGTCCCTTGTTGTGCTTGTAGTGATCCTTCTTCTTCTTATTCTTCTCATCATCACTGTCATGATGGTCCTTCTTTTTCTTCTTCTCATCATAACCATCGCGATTGTCTTTCTTCTTCTTTTTCTCATCATCATTGTCATAATGATCTTTCTTCTTCTTTTTCTCATCATAATCATCATGATGGTCCTTGTCCTTCTTCTTCTTCTCATAATCATCGTCATCTTTCTTCTTATCCTTCTTCTTCTCCTTCGTCTTAGTCTTCTCATCATCATAGTCCTTGCCACTCTGCAACATTTAAATAACAATCTAGATGCAAAATGTAGATACACGAAAAATTCAAAGGATCTTCGCTGAGACCAAGATCAGTGAATAAAACAAGAAATATCACTAAAATATCATACTTTCCATGTATATCGATTTTTGCAAACATTAACAAAATCACATGCAAAAACGTTAAAATCACTTACTAAATGAAAATGATCAAACTTACGTTTTCTTTGTGGTCTTGGATCGCTTTCTTGCCCGATCCATGCTTGGTTTTGGGCTTGGCATAGCTACTGTACTCAGTGTTGAGAGCCTGGTCGTCATAAGCAGAAGGCTCGTGGCTGGAAGAGAACACGGGCCTCTGGTACTCAAAGGCGTCACCGGAGAGAGACGAGAGAGGGTAACAATTCTCGTCGGAGGGAGGGAGTGGGCGGCCGTACGTCACGGTGATGTCGTAGCCTCCGCTGTACGGTGTCGGGTCGTACTCGTCGTAGTCATCCACGTCAGCGTTGTCTTTCGTGTAGTACGGCATAGTTTTTTGGAAGTCTCCTTCTTTCTCGTTCTCTCTGATTGATTCTTTTGGGATCAATATGATCTCTCACGTTCTTGCTCAGTTTGTTTCCCCTTCTGTTTACATGGTGATCACTACGCGGGAATGCTGCCACGTGGCGTTTATCTTTGTTTTGTCTGAGTCAAAATTAATGACGTGACAAATCCGGTTGAACTCAACCGATAATCTTGAACTTTATTACAAGAACATTATTGGTAAGAAAATATAGATTTCGATTTTACGCCTGATCAAAATTTTAAAACTAAACCATTAGTCAACTTATACTTGGCATGTTTATTGGAATGTTCTTATCAAGTCTCTAACTATTAAATATAAAAAAATAATTAAAAAAATGAAAGAGAACTAAAACTTTTATTTAAGGAATATAAAAGACATCTCTTAACTTAATCTTACATCTTTCAATTAAGTTAACTATTTAATTAGAATTTAACTATTTATAATATACAAAAATAATAATATTTTATTATTAAGAACTTTATTTTAAGAATCCATGCGATAAATATGCTCTAAATAACATACTACTTTGTTCCTTAGAGATAAAATTTTCAGTGTATTATAAAAAACTAAATCATGATTATATATGTATTATTTTTGTAATGATCAATTTAATAATTTTATTTCATAGTAATTCAATAAATTTAATTAATTTTCTAGATTTATAATTTCTGTAGAGAAAACATTTAAAAAAAATTGTCAAATATCTTTCTTAGCTGGAACGGAAGGTGTATTATAACCACACGTGCAAGTATCTCTGTGCTTGTGTAACTCTAAAACACGAGAAAAATACGAAGAAGTAACAGAACAGCACACAAATACGGTGTTCGAAACAATATAAACAGCGTTTAAAAGCAATCTTCCTTCCCAACATCCCTCCCAAGATTCTACAGCACATCGACGCAAACTTAGGTCCTGTCACTAGATAGATAAGCTTAGTCAGAATGTCGACGAGTCGAATGATCTCAGTTGCGCATGATGATTCAGGGGATTACTGCACCGTTCAAGACGCAGTTGACTCTGTTCCTATTGGAAACACGTGTCGTACTGTGATCTGTATCTCACCGGGGATTTACCGACAACCGGTGTACGTGCCCAAGAAGAAAAACTTCATCACTTTCGCCGGAATTTCACCGGAAACGACTGTTCTTACTTGGAATAATACTGCTAAAAATATTGATCATCACCAGGTTTTGAGTGAAACTTTACTCTAAAAACGTTGGAAAATCAGTCTGAATTGTTTGCTTGTTTGTTTGTTTGCAGAAGGCTAGAGTCATCGGGAAGGGAACGTTTGGGTCCGGGACTGTTATTGTCGATGGAGATGACTTTATTGCAGAGAACATTACTTTTGAAAACTCTGCTCCTCAGGTAATGCTTAGAATCGGTACTTTTTTTTTTTGAATTACATGGATATCCTGACTCCACAGTGGTCCAGACTAGTCACGTATTGCCACACGTCGGTTCGCTGTTCCTAGCGATACCGAAATGTTAATTCTCCAGTGACCAGATTTCGAACCCTGGTGGCTTCACCATATTAGTTTTTTGCTCTCAAGTTAATCACCACCAGGCCACCGGTTGTATGTACCTTTTTTCATATTGTAAACTAGAGAATCTCTCAGGTTTAGACAAAGTTTGGAACTTGTTTCATTGTCTGGTGAATGCTGTGATAGTCTTTCTTCTGCTATTAGACTTAAACTAAAGCTTCTATTATTTTTTTGAGGTTTCAAATTTTGTAAAAGTTTCTTTAACTCAACTCGAAATTGGAGTATCTTTGTGTATGATGATAAATATACTAGTTATGTCTTTTTGACCCTTTGTAATTCTTAAATAGGGATCAGGGCAAGCTGTAGCAATAAGAGTCAGTGCAGACCGTTGTGCCTTTTATAACTGTCGCTTTCTCGGCTGGCAGGTTCGCTTTTAAGCCTGTGTTTTTTTCATAACGTCAAAATGTTTATGTTTCGCTAATATGCTGCTATATAGCAAGTAGTTTTATCTAATCCTCTTTGAGCTGATGGCGAAAACGTGAAGTGCAGGATACTTTGTATTTGCATAGTAAGAAACAATATTTGAAAGACTGCTACGTTGAAGGAAGCGTGGATTTCATATTTGGAAACAGCACCGCACTCTTGGAACACTGCCATATCCACTGCAAATCTCCAGGTTATATAACAGCACAGAGCCGAAAATCGCCTCGGGAATCTACTGGTTACGTATTCCTAAGGTCTTCTTTTTATTCTTATATCTCCCTCCAAGAGGATTAGTTCTTCTCAAGGAAACTCATCTTCTATCATACATGTTGCAGATGTGTGATCACGGGTAATGGTGAGAGTGGGTATATGTATCTAGGAAGGCCATGGAGACCATTTGGGAGGGTGGTTTTTGCGTACACTTACATGGATGTATGTATCAGAAACGTTGGTTGGCATAACTGGGGAAAGGAAGATAATGAGGAGAGTGCTTGCTTTTATGAGTACAAGTACATCATACGAGATCTCTTTACTGTAATAAGTTTAATCCAGAAACAAAGTTTTTGATATGTTATGAATGTGAAATAACCTCAGGTGCTTTGGTCCGGGTAGCTGTTTGTCTGAACGGGTTACTTGGTCGAGAGAACTGAAGGATGACGAAGTTGAAAACTTTCTAGATCATAGTTTTGTGGATCCAGATGAGGATAGGCCTTGGTTGTGTCCGAGAACAGGAGGCAGGACACCTTGCTCTGCGTAGAGTACTTAATGAAAGAGAAGAAAAATCAAGAAATTAAATCTGTTTAATGTCAATGTACATGTGATTCTGTTAATAGACAAGTATAAATTGCTTCTGTATAGTTGTAAAAGTATAAAGGCAATATGTTCAGTATGCATATCTAATAATACTTGAAAAAAATGTTGCAATTGACACCAAGTAATAGTATGGAATTTGAGAAGTTATCTGTCCAAGTGAACAAGTGCACACACCAAAACAAAAGCAAAAGTTTCAAATCTTTTGATGATTGTTTAATTAAGTAAATGTATACCGACGATACATATCAAAATGGGCGTTTGGTCTAGTGGTATGATTCTCGCTTAGGGTGCGAGAGGTCCCGAGTTCAATTCTCGGAACGCCCCATTATTTTTTCCTTTTCGTTTTTTTTTCTATCTACCTTCCTCTTCTTCACCCTGATTCAGATTCTTGATTTTCTTTTACAAATTTTGATGAACTTGCTGAGGAACTCAAAAATTAACAAAGAGCTTCCTCACCAAACCAATCACAAGAGATACAAATAGTAGAAACTTTGATTAACAGAGTCAAAAGCAGTAACATACACTCAAGAGAAGACACAAAAATTGTTCAGCAACATAAATATTTTACCAGGGAAGGCTTCTTCACCTGGTGAGTTTGAAATACAAGATGACGATAATAGCAATGACAAGGACAGTGATGATAGCCCCAATAGTCCATTTGTTCCTATTCATCCTCCTAGTCATCGCTGTCAATATCTTCTTACTCTTCCCCACGTTCTCATCAACTCCATGAAGCGTCTCATGTGCGCGTAAAAGAGACTGCCTCTGTCCATGCAAATCCTGAAGGATCGAAACACCAAGCTCTTCAGTCTCAAGCATCGTTTTCCGACCGTCCTTGATTCTGTCACTGGTTCTGCCTAATCGGTCTGTTGACATCATCAATCTTGATCTTTGATCAGCTGAAGCCTAAAAAACCATATTGCAACAAAAAATAAAAATCAGAGAAACCAAAAAACATTGTCTGGTATCTAGGACTTTAAGTATTACATACCGTTGTGGTGTCTGCCATACCAGCTTCTAGCAACTCATCTCGAGCAGAAGCGTTTAGGTTTCGAGATGTGAGTCTCTTCACTTCGGTCTTGAAGTTGTTCAGATCGGATTTGTATTCCCTTAGTTTCACAAGGAGGTTGGATTTGACATTTGGTGGAAGGCTTCTCACCTCAAGGTCCATTTTCTTAACCTATAGAGTAAAATTAAAGGTGCAAACTATTCAAAGAAGAAGGTGAAAGCTTGCATCTGAAGGAAAAATGATGATAGACATACCAATGTTTCAGCATCCTCAACTCCAGATTTGATTTCAGATAGCTTCTGCTTCTTTTGTTCTGCATGAGAAGCAGTGAAGAGTGATGATGATCTATTTATATTAACCCAAATACATACTCCCTCCGTTTCAATTTAGTTGTCATTTTGTTTTTTTACACAGATTAAAAAACTATTTAATTTTATACATTTTCTAGAAAAAAACACAATTACCTATACACCTAACCTAATTTCAATCAATAGAAAAATAGAATAGTAGATAAAGTTAATAAATTTTGCATTGCATTGTAAAACTGACTCTTATTTAGAACTAAAATTTTTCTGTACAACGACAACAAAATTGAAACAAAATTGAAACGAAGAGAGTATTATTATACTTCAGCTCATTTAGGTATAGTGCGATCAGTGACTAAGATCATGTTCAACGTGATCTGCAACCTGCTACTAAACATTGCGACATGCAACTAAAATCATGTTCGTTTACGTATCATACGACCAGTCCTACAACACAAATTTTGCTATTTTTTTCCGGTGACTGGTTGCACGACAGCAAAACGAACAAAAATGTCGCAGGTCGCGCGACAGCAAAACTAACAACAATGTCCCAGGTGGCGTGATCGGTAAACGAACATGGCCTTCATATGAATCTTGAACCATTATTTTTTTCATGAAATTCTATAAGAAGAGAGACCATCAAGAGATATTATCAATTTTTATACCTCCGTCAAGAGCAAAAGCTGAAGTACATTTCTTGGAGAGATTAGCAGAAATGTCACAGTATTGCCTCTCGTATCCTTCGAACACGCGACTCATCGTTCCCTGGAAACTATCAATTTAAAAAAAACAATCCGTTCACCAAAAAATAGATTATACAATGTATTATTGATCGTTGATGATCTAAGAAAACAACCTAATCCTCGAATGATATCTATCGTCTTACTTTGAGTTAGATCGTGGAAAAGTAACGAAATTTGAAAATTAAGCAAAGCAGGTGAAAACGTAAACAGATGCAGAAGATGGTGAGAAGAGAGTGATTATTAGGTGACGAAACGATGGAAAAACTTACGAGATGAGAATTGATCTGACGAAGAAGAGAAACGCCGGCGACGGCGAGGGGATGTTGAACGATGCGGAGATCCGGCGAACGACACGCGATTCTAGAGAAGGAAATGATAAAATATGAATTGTTTTTTAAAAAATTGAAAAAAGAAAAATTTAAATAGAAAATTGGTTAAGTTGTTGAGAGATTATACCGGACGGTTCAGTGAGAGTGATAGCAAAATTTTAAGAGTTTAAATGATAAACAACAACATATCTAGAAAAAAATCACAAATGTGATATAATTATAAAGACCAAAATACAAAAAAATATATAAAACTTTAAATTTAAAGTTTTAAGTAGCCAAACTCTATATTTAAAATTTCCCTACTTTTTAAAAACTTTATAGAGTTTTGCTACGTAAAACTTTAAATTTAAAATTTTATATTCTTTTTGTATTTTGGTCTTTATAATTATATCACATTTTTAAATATAGAGTTTGGCTACTTATATTTTTTTTGGCTCATTCACCTCTTAAATATAGAGTTTGGCTACTTAAATTTTTAAATTTGAAGTTTTAAATATTTTTTTTTGGAAAACAAAAAACTTTATATTTGAAGTTATAGGATGTTTTTTATGCTCAAAATGTTAACTCTTTTTTAGATCAGCATGACTGGGAGTGTCAGTGTGCTTGCTTAGCCCTTGGAGGACTGCAAAAGCTACACTAAATATACAATAATCACTATCCACGTGACACCAAATCCACAATAAGTCATCCTCTTTGATTTCACAATCGAGAGTATGTACATAAAACCACACTGTTTTATAGCATGTAACCTTGAAAACCACTAGCAATCTTCTTTGTACAGTGGAACTAAACATAACATAGCATAATAGTGTAATAACATTTAAAGAAAAAAACCATAATCCAAATACTACTTTACTACCAAAGACATTTCGTTTTTTAGTCTAGTCTTCTGAGCAAGTACTCCACTTGAACTTCTTTTGTCAACGGCATGATCCAATCTCCATACAAATGCCCCACCAAGATCGGACTTATTTTGTAAACATGAGATTCATCCACCTCTTCTTCTTCTTCTTTCCTCTCCATCCCCAATTTCACTTCTTGCCCATATGTTCTCGTTTTCATCTCAACTCTCTTCTTCACCGCCTCCTCCACCGTCGAGAATGTCAACATACCCATCAACGCACCCTTATCCTATGTGTTGCATACTTAAAGGTGAGATATGCATAAAAGAAAGATAGAAGCACAGGAGTTTCCTTGAAGAAGTGGATACACATACTTGTGCTTTGATGGCAGACTCATAAGCCTCAGGAGAGGCTTGAAACTTGGCCTCTGCCACAAACTTACCATAATGTATCCTCTTTGAAAGAGACTGCAACAGACATCAAAAAAGACTTTATTTCTGATAACAAGTTGCAAAAGGTATTTGGATATCTTTAAAAAACGAACCTGAAGACAGATAGCATCACATACAGCTGTTGATCCGTAATTACCATCATCACCTTTCCTCACTAATCTTGGTAGAAGCTCTCTAAAATACATGTTCCATATCTTCTTGTTTATATTAATCGTATCAGCACCAAAATGCAAAACCTACTTGACCAAAAAACAAAAAAAAAACAAACTGAATCCCCTTAGCACATAGTACACAAATCCACTAAAGACTCAAAATCTTTAAATCACTTAAAGCATCACCTTTGGGTACTGCAGAGGAGGCAACATAGGCTCTGGCAAATCCTCAGGGAAGTAAGGATGTTCATCAGGGCTCTGGAACCTACCAACCTATATTTCAATCAAAAAGTTCCAATTCAGGTTTCCATAATCTTGAAATATACCATTATGCAGGGCTAATCCTGAGCCAAGTCTAACAAAACATTTGTCTTAGCCTCCTTAAATTTTTTTGCAAAAATTACATATACAAAGACAAAAAAAAATATTTTAACCTCTCAAAAATTTCTAAAACAGTTTTAGTTCAAATCTTTTATAAATTGCGTATGAGCCTGCCGTTTTGTTAATCTTTTATAATTCATCAAAAAGTTCCAATCAGGTTCCCATAATCTTGAGATATACCATTTATACATGACCCATCATGAGCCAAGCCTAATGAAACATTCGTCTAAACCACCTCAAAATTTTTGCAAAAATCACATTTACAAAGACCCAAAAAAGAAAAAAAAAATTTAACCTCTCAAAAACTTCTAAAACAATTTTAGTTCAAACCTTTTATAAATTGTGTATGAACCTGCCGTTATGTTAATGTTTTTTAACTACCTTAGCGTGAAGTTTCTCAGTGCCTTTAACCATGTACTCAACCAAAGAGCCTTTGAATCCACCATCCATGTCGAAAGCAGTGGGATCATAAGTATCTTCGTTGTAACAGTACTTAGCTCTCTCCAACAGACCGAATATGATGCTGTCTTCTTGTCGGATCAAAGAGTTTCTGATGCCTTCGAGAGTTAAACTCTCGCTTTCGTCTACTCGTTTCTTCTTCCCTGACAACGATCTGTAATCAAACAATAATAACAATGAAAAAGGTTTCTACTTTAAGGTGAGTTGATTAATGGGAATCTATAAAGATGAGAGCTTTGTGGGTTTTTTGAATCGTACCCATTGAGGGTTGTGATGGCGTGAACAGAGCTTGTTCTGGAGCGTGGAAGAGAACAGAGGACAGAGAGGGAAGCTTTTGATAACGGAGAAGGAGGGAGAGTGCAGATGGGTCTGGGAGTTGATAGCACGTGACGATGGTGGAGGAACCCTATTGCAGGGGAGTAAGAAGATGATCTCATTAACAATTGTGAGGATTCCATTGATGAAGGAAAAACAGAGGAAATGGAGAAAACAGAGGATTGAGAATCAGAGGAAGAGAGAGAGAATCATCTGCAGAGAAAAAGAGAGATCTTTTAAAGGAGTTAGGCATTTGGGGGTAGGTGGTGTAGACTTGTAGTTGGTGAGGAGAGAGAGTTGGTGAGAGAGAGAGAGAGAGAGGTAGGCTTGCTGCATACACGACTTCAGTTACATAAAGATATTATTTTTTTATGTTCGTCAAAATATGGGAGAGGGACAGTGTCACTTGGAGGGATTCAATGCTGGGTGGGTGGACTTGTGAAAGCAGGGGAATTGAGTCATGCTCGCCAACGTTATGAAATGCCTTTAAAGGGTTTAAATTGCTGGAACATTGGACGGTTAATCGGTTATGCCAGGTGTAGAGCAGGAAAGAGACATGACTAAAGCCTTTTGAACTGTTCAAGATGATGCCTGAGAGTGAGAGAAACACTGTATCTTGGTCGCTGTTGGTGATGGGGTTTAGCAAAGCTGGAGACATGGAAGTGGCTAGGATTATGTTTGATAAGGTTTGATCAAAGCTACATTTTCAAGATCGTTAGGTAATATACCAGCAGTGTTTTTCAGACCATATATCTGTAGTTCATTTTCCAAAAGAACACAAATATGGAGTCATCCTTGTAACTCACAAAATTGGAGGAGTTTGGGTAATGTATATACAGCATAGTTCAAAAATCTTGAGATGGATATGATTTTACAATACTAAACTCCAGAGATGGGGGTTCTGCTTCTCTGCTTCTTAGTCCCACAACAGGTTCTTGTGATCAACCAGGAAGATGGCTGTAACAAGAGAAGATCAAACTCCCATGGAACCTCACTGTGAGTTTTAGTAATAATCCTCACTTCATGTAAAAAAGGTTCAACAAAACTTATGGTTAGGTGATCAGTGGAACTTGAACTGTAATAGGCTTAATGACAGTTCCATTAGTTACATGTAGTTGGTGGATTTAGTAAATGAATTTTCCTCTTTTGTTTTCTCCCACATGTGTGTGGTAAAGTAACTTCAGAGGCAAAATATGAGTGGCCACTAGGACTACACATCATCCAAAAAGTTGATTAAAAGATTTGTCTCTTATCCAATATCCAAATGTCTATCTTCAAATTCATCAACACCTTTTGAAGTTGAAGCATATCTATTGCCCATCCTTCTGACTAGGACCTCTAGTGCCCACTATCTTATATGTAGATGTTACTTCTATGCTCTGTCTTCTCTTCAGAGAACTAAACTGAATTGAGTCAGACAGAAACATGGATGCTTGCTTTCTTACCTCAAGATCAATCTCTGGTGTCAAAGAGCTTATCCCATTCATCAAAACCAGAATCTTCTCTTGTCCCAATAGAAACTCCAGCCAGTTTCTCACCAGGAAGGCTGCTTCTCCAATCTCTGTAAATTGTAAGTTTGCTATCACATGTCTTGGTTTAGGAACTTGCCTGTATGAGAGTATATTTGCTTGTGTAGGTTCTCTTTCGGATTCATGGAAGCCACTAGAGGATGATGCTGACCTCTTCAAGGACTGTGTTAACAACAATTCTACATCAGATGCTGACTGGAGAGAGTTCAGGGCAAGGCTCATAGCTGGAGAGCAAGCTGCAACCTCTGAGGAGGACTCATCCTCATGGTCTGACCCAGACATGGTGGTGGACTATCCCTCCTCTTCACTGATCACAACAGGTGAAAAATGGGCACACAAGATCCTAGAGCCAGAGACAGGATGTCTCCTAATAGCAACAGAGAAGCTAAACGGAGTCCACATCTTCGAAAAGACAGTGATCCTCCTCCTCTCTGTTGGACCCTCAGGTCCTATAGGAGTCATACTCAACCGTCCATCACTTATGTCAATCAAAGAGACAAAATCAAAAGTCCTAGACATGGCTGGAACATTTTCAGACAAAAGTCTCTTCTTTGGTGGACCTTTGGAGGAAAGGTTGTTCTTGGTTAGTCCTAGGAACGGTGAGGACAACGAGGTTGAGAAGAGTGGAGTGTTCAAACAAGTGATGAAAGGGTTGTACTATGGGACTAGAGAGAGTATAGGATTAGCTGCAGAGATGGTGAAGAGGAACTTGGTGGGGAATAGTGAGATAAGATTCTTTGATGGGTATTGTGGTTGGGAGAAAGAGCAGTTGAAAGCAGAGGTTTTGGGTGGGTATTGGACTGTAGCTGCTTGTAGTTTGAGTGTTGTTGAGCTTGGTTCTGCTGAACAAAGTCAAGGTCTTTGGGATGAGGTTCTTGGTCTTATTGGACCTCAAACTGGTTCTGTTATCTAAACTCTGTTTTTTTTTTTACTGTAATGGTTTTTATCAGTATGAGTCATGACTGTTGTGTATGTTTCATCACTAATTTTATGGTGTTCTAAAAATCAAAAGTGTCTGCCTACTTTAGCAAATTAAACCTAAATGAAACTATTGTTCTTTACTGATTGTTTTTTTCAAAAATCGATCTAGATGCTAAAAAATGTTGGTTTAGGTGTCTGCTTAATCAATAATCTTGTATAAAGAGTGTAAACAACTGCCTAGCTATTTCTTGAACATTGTTAATTTATGAGTATGACAGTTTCTACTTTTATATCAAGAGTTACTTTTGAAAAAAAATAGAGAATGAATTTAATACATGGCATGAGTTACCTTTGAACAACTTTAATGTTTTCAAGTACTTGTTGTTTCTCTATAAATATCAAACCTTGTTATAATAGCATATACAAACATCCAAAAATCTTAAAAGAAAGAAAAAAAACAAGAAAAGAAGATACAAAACTTTTAATCAGTTTATATATCTCAAAGAGATGGAACACACATCAAGAGCATTAGTCTTAGCTTTACTCTTCTGTGTTGCAGCTTTGATCAATTCAGGAGCTGCTCATGATCAACCACCACCATCACAAACTCCACCGAGTTTTCCTATCGACTTAGAGAAGTGTTGGTCATCTCTATTTAATGTCAATGGATGTGTACTCGAACTCTTCCAATCGGTTTTCTCAGGCAAGTTTGGAAACGTTGGAGTCGCTTGCTGCAAGGCGTTTTCGTCCATAGATGCTAACTGTTGGCCTCATATGTTCCCGTTGAACCCGTTCTTCCCACCTCTTCTTAGAGACAATTGTGTGCACATTGTGTCAAATCTACCTAAGCACAAGTGAAAAAACTAGAGTGAAGTTGATTATGGTTTAGCTTAGAACCTCTTTTCTATTCATGTTCCAAGTTTTGATTAATGTCATCTCATCTAATAAAATGATTTTCTTAGAGCTCACTGTCACTTTACCTTTGGCCTATGAATATAAGAAGATACAGTTTGCAATATAGTAATATATCTATTTAGTAGTCTTGATGAATCTGTTTTGTAATAGTCTAAGCATAATAGTTGTGGTCCTTGTGGAGAAGATAATGGTTGAGAAATAACATCACTTGCCAAGTAGTAGACACAATGTATGATCTTGTCTTCCATGGCAACATCACCCTGACGCAAGTCTCTGATAAGCAGAAACTCGTTCAGAAAACATAACCAAGCTTATTACAACTTCATTCATCTCATGTCTCTCAAACTCAGTCATAAAAGAAGATTTTTGAGTTACAATGAAATGTCTTTATCAACAAGAATCATCACATTCTTTTGAGTTTCTTCTGAGCAAACAAAGATCCGAAAATAAAATTTAAAAAGAGAATCTGAAGAATGTAAATTTGAGCCATCATCATCTTCTTCTTCTCCTCATCCACCATTGCAAGCCCTGACTAGTCTTTTTTAGTTAAATATCCACTTGAGGAACGCTACCACCAGCTTGAACTATTTGTTTCTCAAGCTACAAGCAACACCACAATGGCCATGAAAATTTTATTCATTCCTTTCCCAAAATAATTTTATTAAAATCATCCCAAACAGAAACTGGATTCATATGCACAATTATCACACTCACGTTGAACATATCTTGAAGCTTTGCCTTCAAAGTCTTGTACTCAATATCCACTTGCTGCAGACATCTCACACACCTGTTAAGAAACTTCAGAGATTAACTCACAAATTCTCAACCAATGAGTTCCCAAAAGAAAAGCCTCACCCTTCATAGTTCTTAGCCTCACAAAGCTCCTTGAAGTTAATACACAACCCTTTAACTCTCTTGGCACCAACACTGCAAATAATAAACAGAACAGAGCTTCATCAATCAACCACAAGCAAGATAGCTAAAGATTAGGACTCAAACAAGAAACAAAAAAACATACCTTGAGCTACTACCCTTCAACTGATGCACATTAGCACCAACCTGACTAAAATCTACAGTTCCTGTCTGGTCCCTGAAATAAAAACACAGGCAATGATGATGAGTTAGCAGATATATGATGATAAACATGTGAGAGAGGAACTTACAAAGCTCTAGCCATGTTACCGACAAGCTTGACACAATCATCAAAGAAGAGAGAGAGAACCTCAGCCACAAAATCAGGACTCCCATCATCTTGCAGACTCTTCAACTCAGTAAACTGATCATCCAGAAAGCCCTTCACAAACCAAACAAAAACAATGATCTAACAACAAAACCCATCACAATTTCCGACCAAAAGATTCAAACTTTATCCACTTTAACCATCTCTAGATTCAGTTTATCATCGATTATCTATATGTCCTAACCAAAGGTTCAACCTTTATTGACTTTAAACAAGGCTAGATTCAGTTATCATCATTGATCTATGTGTTCCGACCAAAAGACATGTGCTTGAATCAAATGGGTTTTGTGGGAAATGATGAATCAAACCTGTTGGTAAAGAGAAAGGATGTAGTTACGATATTGCATCTGCAGCTGAGCGACATGAGAGTCCATGTGTAGATAGATCGAGAGAGAGAGAGATGGGAGGAGGATGTTCTGTCGTTTTGTTTTGTTTTGGACTGGTTTTTGACTTGAGTTTCTGTGTAATAAGCCAATCCCTAGAGACACTTTTGTCTTTTTACAATTATAACGCTCTCAATATTAAAGACTTCTTAATTTTAGAGAGAAAAGAGCACACCTATATTTGGACATTTATATATTTCAAACTAAATCTATATAACAACTGTTTGACAAAAAAAAAAGATATATTTCCATATACTTGATTAACTATCTTCATGAAAATTTTGTATAAGTGCATGAAGGTAATAATATACTTGATAAATTTTCAAAACAAACAAAATTACCTTAATTTTCATTTCTAATTTTTATTTTGGTCGCTTTTATTTAACATTTTAACTCTTTTAAAAATGTTCAATAATAAAATAATTCAAAGAGAAAAAAGGCAAATAAAAATCCATTTTCTCTCCTCAAAATAAAATTAGCAAGAATAACTAGTTTTGAGAATAAGTGATAAGTCAGTCATTACATTTTAGAATATTTTAAATATTTTCATTCGCGTTCATAAAATATTACTAGCTTGTTTTAAAAACATGATAACAATAAAATTGAAAGACATTTGATATGCACTTGTTTTTTCTATGTGAATTACTAATCTCTTCTTTTTCTATGCATTTTCTTTTTGTGGTAATCAAGTTCTCTATGCACTTTAACTAACAACTAGATTTTTGACCCGCGCAACCGCGCGGGTGTTTATTTTCGTTTATAGTTAGTTCTATAAACATTTTGTTTTCACTTGTAAATTTGTATATATTATATTAATTACATATTTACAATGTGTATAGTAAATGTTTTTCAAACATAATAATATTATATAATACGTGTTTTTCAAACATGTGTTTGTTTTTTCTTCTATATTTTATTGTTTGTTAGATTAGTATTTTATTTTTAAAAAAAGTAAGATAAATATAGCTTGATTAAATATTAGTATACTTTAATTAGCAAAAATAATAAAATATGTCGAAGGTGTGGGGGTAATTTACTCAAACTAAATGTATCCTTATAAATAATAGAAGATTCATAAACTTATATCTATTGACATATTTTGCGTTATCGGAGGGTGAATATTCTGTTAGATCTATTCCACATATATATAAATATTCCATATTACGAATCTGTGATTTTTGTTAATATATCGTGAATGCATTTTACTATTATTGACATATTTCCTTATAAATAATAGAAGATTCCTAAAATTATATATATTGACATATTTTGCATGACTAAGTTGGAAGGTGTAGAATAATTTACCCAAACCAATTTTTAAGCGTATGTTTGTTATTATAGATATGATTTTTCATAAGATATAATAATGATAAGATTAGAGAATTTAATATAACCCTTTTTTAGGAATAAGTCCAAAATTTAGAAAATCACACATGAAGTCAAGTCATGACTTCTGTTTTAATATATAAGATACCTCTCAAAAAGTTATAGACATTCATTCAACCATTTTGTTATACAAAGCAGAAACATATCCCTTCCTTACTTATCTTCTTCTTCAACACAAATTCAAAAACTTCTTGCGCAGTAGAGGCTTTCCCTATACTATAAGTTTTGCACCATCCCAAGAACCTAACATACCTCCTAACCTCTTGATAATGTCTTCTTCAGAAGCATACCATTTTGGTATAATCTTCGTTGCATAAGGGTACATGTCTTTAGCTGACCTCTTGATGGTATTCTCCAAGACTTCCGCAACCAAAGCAATTTCTGTAAAACCAATCATCATTCCCACAATGAGTTTTACCTTGCAGTGCAAGTAACCTAATCAAACCTATGGCTATTTTCTAGTAAAGAACAACTATTTTAATCACCTCGAATAGATCTCTGTTTGGTCTGAGATAGCTGACAGATCATGAAGATAATAACAGCAAGAATTGACTTAGGGTTTCTCCTAATATAGAAATTCTCAGCCATTTCAACAGCTTCTTTAACAGCTTTCCTCTCTCTTTCACTCATATCGAGTTTGGAACAGAACCGACGAACAAGTTCTCCTGTCTTCAGCATCACCTGAGAAGCATCAGAAGCTGCGCCCTCATCTTGATCAGATGACCTAAGAAAACGCCTTATCCCCATACTCGCCTTGTTTATATCCTTCAAGCTCACACCATTAGCCACCGTGGAGATCTCCTTCAACGTCCTCGAGAGTTTCATCTCACGACAAGCCGTGGAAACAGAGGCAGCACAGAGAGCTGTCAACCGTTTCCCTCTACGCACCTTCTTGCTACCGTCACGATCAAACTTGGACACGATCTCGCAAGCCCTAAACTCCACACCGCTTGTTAGGTCAAGATCTTGAGTCATTTTCTTGATTTCTTCGCACGCTTTCTTGAAAACATCTTCTTCCTTGTTCCTGGCGAGACTCTTTGCCCGGGAGAAACCGGATAAGTCGTTCTTGGAGATGGAGAATGTGTTTTCTTTGCGCGTTGCGATGATGGTGTCGATACCGCCGGATTTGAGAAGAGGGTTGGTCGGAGCGCCGACGCGGTTAGGGTCACGGTCGATGTTGTCGTCGTCGTAAGGGAAGGTCATCCATTCTTGGCAGTCGTGGATGTAGTGATGGGAGATGACGAGGCTACACTCTGTGCAGATTGTGTCGCCGGTTCTTAGGTCAATCACTGTTTCTGTAGCTTTCTTGCAATCCAAGCAAGTCTCCATTCTCAAGAGTTAGTGTGGTTTCTTTTTTTTTTAATTGGTGTGAGTCTTTTATAATGTAAATTATGTTTTCTTCTTCATTTTGTCTTTTATAAATACAGTCAATTAATAAGCAAGTTTCATTTTAATTAGTAAAATATTTTTTTTTCTTCATTTTGTCTTTTATAAATACAGTCAATGAATTTAGTTTATTATCTCATTTTTATTGTCACGGTTCCAAACAGTATATAAAACTATTTCTTGGTCATTTATTTGAAAATAACCTTTTTCTTTATTACGCATATTTTTCTTTAAAATTATATAAACTAGATGCATAGTCTCCGCGCAAGCGCGGGGGTTGGATACGTTGTTGATGTGTTGTGTAGTTTTGTGTATGAGATTTTGCTGTTTTTTTTTTTAACATTTGTTTATCTGATTTATCTATAATGGTGATGAATTAAACATTAGAAGTCACACAACTTGATTAGTCTGATAAGAGAATAAACATCAAATTCATGTGGGTTGATATTTTCATATTTTATCTTCGTAGTGATTTTATCGAGCATTCCCTTTATTAGTGCTTTCATGTAAAAAAATAATTTAATGGAGACAAGACAAAAAAGAACATGTGTTTATTAGTGTAATTTTCTTTATGAAATTATGTTGTATATATATATATGTATATATCTATATATTTTTTAATTGTGATGTATATGAGAGTTATGGTCGATCTGAATTGTTCGGGGTAAATATTTATTATTGAAAAATATGTTTTTATTTTATTTGATGATTATAACTGAATTGAAATGATATTGGAGGTTAGAACATAATAACATTTCTTATAAAAGTATCTAAGATGGTCTCATAAAGTTTTAAATCCTTAAGTCATTTTGTATCCCAACAACCAGCATAAAAAAATCATTCTGAATCTCCCTAAACTTTTAGGTATCCCTAAAAGCTCAAATGGAAAAAAAAATTATATGCAAGCACTGCGTTTTGAATCCGCGCACTCGCGGTACAAACATCTCGTCATCAACTTAAACCACTCGACCAAATCTTTAATCATTGATAACCATTCAATTTTAAAAAATCTTATACTTTTTTTTCCCTAATAACACAGGTGCGGGACCCGCAAGTTTGCTGGACAGCCTTAAGAGCTTCAAAAGTGAATCATTATTATATAGATTTGCATCTTAAATATTTCTTTATGATTTTTATCCAGTAACAAACTATTTTTACATATAAAACACCACTTAAGGTTTACCATAGTTTTTGCTCATTTTTACCTTCAATGTAGTCATCTACCAAAGTCTCCCTATGCATATGTCTAAGAGTCATTACATAAACATCAAGGTAATTTACATTTAATAAGGTACATGTTTATACAATGAAAAACAAAATTATCTTCCTGATCATTTCCTTAAAAATCTACCTGATGATCACAGAGGAAGACAGTGTAGTCGCTCAGGTAGTTTCCCAGCTGGCTTTTGTAGATCAACGTATCTCTGAGGAACTGATCTTTTAATTGTCTTTGTGCGGCTATGAAACTTGGCGAGACGGTTTAGCATAGAGAATTTTTCAGTGTCTTCGATTTCTAAGAAGATGTCTAATATCGATGTGGTAGTAGTCTCCAAGCTGTATAGGAACATTATTAGAAGAAAAAAAATGTAATATTTAAGAATAAATTTATCCCTTATAAGATAATCACTTTCAAAATGTTCCTTACCTTTGGAAGTCATTTTCAAGCTTGTGCAGTTTTTCCATAAAAGCTTTGACTAATGTATAATAACCGTTTTCTTGATCACTAGACGTATTCGAAGTTTGACCACTGGACCATAAACTCTTCTTTAAGAAAGTGAGAATAAATATAATTAAGAAACTCAGATAAATTTGAAGTCTTAAAATAGAACTCACTTTGTGAGAGAACATGCATCAGCGAGGGTGATTCTAGACTCAAAGTAAAGCATGGTCTCGTAGTTGAAAGGTGCGTTGATGTCTGAGAAAACAAACGTTGGTGCTGGTCGGAGAAGTTGTTGCATAAGATTTGTGGATAAAACAAGCCTCTTCTTTGAAGGAGAGACCACCTCATTTGGATCCATCTTACCAACCAAGAAACAACTCTTTATTTGAAGATAAGAAGAAGTGAATAATATACGAGATGCATTGGTACCTTCTCACATAGTGTATTCGTTGCAAGGGCCCATTCTTGTTCTGACACACTATACAGAGCAAATGTTTTAAGCATCAAATATGGTAAAAAAAAACGATAATTCCTCATTTAGAATGTGAGAGGAAATGACCTGAAGCTATGACATATCTTTGAAGGTTGTAGATAGACTTTATGCCATGGTGATTGTAAAAAGGTTGAATTTTTGCGCTTCTTGGGTCTCGAAACAGCCATGTTTTGGTTCAGAGCCTTTGATTTTTTTAGTGGAGCGTTTAAACTCGAAGCATTACTATATATTTCCTGCATTTCAGGATCCTTGGCAGCGTCCGAGTAACCTGCATTACAGGACGAATATTAAACAATTGTAAATGGTATTGCTAAGAGATTTTAAAATAAGTTAATATATCTAATGGCGATGCCGTGCTTCCATATTTTTAGATAGGTTAAGAACTAACTCTGTAGATCCAATGAAATCTTAAGAAAAAAAAAGTAGGATGCAGAAACAGTAGCCAGTAGATCAAGCATATGAAAATGATTTAGCAGCAGAGAATGCATGCAAGCAAAACATTATCTGATATATGAACATGCAAAGCGTTTTAACATCTGAAAACAGACAACAGAGTTCAGATGGAACCTTGGAGCATAATTCATAAAGAGACAAATAAAATTTGGAGGTTTTTTCAACAACAAAATTTTTAAAATCACTAGAAAAAAGAATAATATAAACAAACAATAGCAAGAAAAAGTGAAATGAATATCCAAAAATTAAGTGACATTTTTACCTATGAAGTGCATCAACATTGAACAACAGTCTCTCTTGTTTCTTTCTTTCCGGGAAAATGAAGAGTGGAAAATGAGTTAGTTGAGCAGACAACTTTGTATTGGACACATATTTTTACCTTCCCGATAAAACCCCCGTACTTTCCTTTTTTCCGTCAAGGCCCCAGTTACTTTCTTATCTATCATAACTAACCCCGATTAAAAACTGAAGCCCAAAAATCTCTTATTGGGCCGAAAACGAAAGTAACGGGCCGTAAGATTTTGATTATCAGAGTTCTTCATTCATAGCCGTGAAAATCCCTTAGGGAACGGAAGCAACAACTTCTGTTAATCGGAGATCGGCAGAACGATGACGGGAGAAGACGATAAAGCTAGGGTTTCTCCGAGCAACTACCCTCCAACGAACGATGCTTCTGAATCGATTCAAAGGTAATCATCAGCTTAATCACATGTTTATCATCTTCCATTGCTGTTTCAACCAATTTGTATCCTGATTTTGTTGAAATTTGTAAATTTTTGTGTGTGTGTGGCAGGAAGAAGATAAAGTGGGATCATCAGCCTATGGCTTGTTTAAACAACACAGTAGTTCCAAAATTCAATCAACTCTTTACCATATGATTACTAGTTTTATTAGCCATGTGTTAGCTCCAATTTTAATATTTTTTTTTTTTTTGAGCCTTTGTGTATGTAATTTTCTTTTAAAATTTTGGTGGCATAAGGCATATGTTTCGTTAGGCTTGGTTCAGGGCCGGTCCTGTGATTTGAACCGGTCCTGTGATTACTGGTTTTACTATGTGTTAGCTCCAATTTTAATATGTTTTTTTTTTCTGTTTTTGGAGCCTCTGTATATGTAATTTTATTTAAAAATTTTGGTGGCCTAAGGCGCGTATGTTTCGTTAGGCTTGGCTCAGGTCCGGTCCTGTGATAGCTGGTTTTACTATGTTTTGGCTCCAGTTTTAATGTTATTTTTTGTTTTTGGACCATCTGTGTATGTAATTTTCTTTTAAAATTTTGGTGGACTAAAGCGTATGTTTCGTTAGGCTTGGTCCTGTGATTACTAGTTTTAAAAGTTTTACTATGTGTTAGCTCCAGTTTAAATGTTCTTTTTGTATATCCATGTAGGCTAAGAACCAGGATGAGTTGGTCATAGGGAGAGCAATAGTTATCAACGATGCTGAGGCTTCTCTTAGGCACAAGCTTACTCAACGCTCAACTCAAGAAGAAGTATGTGTGTGTGTGGTTTTCTATACATATTGTGATCACAGTTTTGCTTTCAGTATTTTTTTAAGCGTTTATTCGTCTTTGCAGATTCAGAGGTCTACTGGTACTGTGGTGATTACTAGGTTTGGAAAATAAAGCTTTTATTTTTACAATAGTTTTTTGTAAAATTGGACTGATGTATCTTTTTTTTATTGTAGGGGCAAGTATCGTCTTCCAAATGCACCTCCTGATGGCGAATATCCATTGTATCTTCACATATCTGCTGCTTCACATGTATGTTGTTATCCATCCTTTTCTAGCTTGACTAAAGTTGCTTCTTTCTTCTTAGTGGTGTGTAATGATGGTGGATATGTGTAATACCCAAATCTGAGAAGCTTTTATATGACCTCTGAGCATTGAGAATATGCCCTGTTTTTTAATGTTTGTTATAAAAAATGCAGTTAAAAGAGACTACAGAACGTATTTTAGCCGTTGATCGTGCAGCAACTATGATTGAGGAGATGATGAAACAGAAAACAAGTTCACAGGTCGGGGCTGTTGGTTTCCATACAAACAAGGTTAGATAGTGTAACACTTCTTTTCTTATACTCAGTAGCGATAAACTGAGCATTGTTTCCAGTTACTGAGCACGAGACATGTTCTCATATTCTACATTGGCTTCTTGGTAGATTAGGGGGAGACATAGAATTGGTCAAACTTTGGATAACTAGTATTATTGAATGAGTTTTTGAATTGTTTTGGCAGGATTCAATGAGCAACTACGTGTGCATATATTTTAAATGGCAAGGTCGCATGTATAGTATAGTGATGAAGGCAGCAATGGAAGAGATTGCCCTGTCAATGCTAGAAGCAAGGATATGCAAAAAGGTCGGGTTAGATGAAAGTAGCGTGAAACTGAAATTGAGTTACATTCCACTACTGGTGGGTTGCGAGGAGCAGTGTGCTATTTCTGATGACGAGGATCTTTATGTTTATCTAACATCCACTGATAATGAGAATCGTAGATGTTTGCTGCATGTGGAGGTCATCAATGTCTCGGAACTCCCCGAACAACTTTCGAGAGCGTGCGAAGGAAGTTCTTTAGGTATGAACTATGACGAGTTGAATTCAAAGGATGATGAGACAGGAGCTAAAGCTTTTACTCAATACGTAGGCATCGAACAAGTTGAAGAGCAAATTGAGGCAGACGAGAATGAATATGTGGATATGTGTGATAAGCTTGTAGAGCTTCCACCTGTTTCAGAAGCAAATCAGTTTATGGAGGAGACATGGGAAGACGGTATGGATATGGCAATACAACAAGAGTTTCCTAATAAGAAGGCAGTGCAAGAAGTGGTGAGTATGGCTGCATGTTCGAATGGTTTTGGGTTTGATGTGAAGAAGTCAGATAAGGCGCGGTTAGTGCTAAAATGTCCTAAAGAAGGATGTAACTGGGGTTTACGAGCTTCAAAGATCGGAAAGACCGAAATGTTCTCGATTAGAAGGTACACCAAGATGCATACATGCTCTCGTGATGGTCAGAGTAAAAACAACTTGAAGAGAAAAGTCACGCCACAGATAGTTGTATCTCTATTGCATGAGGCTTATCCAGGACAAATGCAAACTCCAACTCCTAAAAGTATCATTGATCTTGTTTCGACAAAATTGGGTGTGAAGATATCATATTCCACTGCGTTGAGAGGTAAAAATTTGTATTCAGCTCTTGAAGATGAGACGACTATGTTAAAGAATGATGCTTGTGACGAGGCAATAGAAAGAGTAGAGCTGTAGTTTTAAGATAGAGCAAATGCGTGAAGAGAGACTACAATGCTGAAAGAATTAGTGAATGGTTTTCTTCAAAACATATGTGTTTTCGTTTGAAATCTTCTTTTCTCTTGTATGTATTTAACTTTGAGTTATGGATTTATCTATGTTAGTCATCTTTGCTGTAAAACTCTTATGATAATATCTATGTTAAGTTATGGATAAACTCTTATTTATCCAGTCAGTTACTTAGAGCCTGTGGCTGGTGGAACTAGCTATAGTTGATATGCAGGAGTATCAAGCTACTCCACTGGAACAAGTCGCTCAAGTCCTTAGCAATCAAAATCTCCACCGTGCTGACTTTTTCCCTTACTACTCCAGGTATTTTCTAAACTTCTAAGAAGCTAACTAGCTGATTCTGGACTTGTGGGTCATTTGGTTTGAATGTTTCACATGGTTTGTCTATTGATTGTTGCGCTTGATTTAGAGTTTGTATCGCCAAATAATGTGTTTCTTGATACGTATATAATCAGAAATCGGAGTTCGATAAACTTTCTGTTTATCCACCTCGATATATGAGACTTTGTTCTGAATCGATACAACATTTTGGTAAAGGGAGAGACTGTCCCAAAGAGACCATAATGGTCACAAGAATGGAGATGGATTTACAACAATGTGCTTTAAGGGATGCGCCACGTCACGGCCACCTGCATGCTTAACGAACTCAGCAGGGGACAAGAAGCTTCCATGGCATACACACACAATCCTCACCTCATTGCCTTTCCTGTACCGATACAGAAACCCATCTATCTTTCTCCCGTTGGGTCCATCTCCTGTTGTTGACACGCACGGCATGTCTTCTATCATGTTTCGTGCTGCTTGATTCTCCGGCAGAGATTGAGCACTTGATGGGCTCTTTTCTATGGACCTGTTTGTTGTTGCTTCAAGGACAAGAAAATTATATCAAGAAAACCGAGAAACAAATATAACCAACAGAGAAAGTTTTAAGTTTCTTATATAAGTTTATAACGAGGTTAAACCAATTGGCAGTAAATATGCCAATATGAGTTGGATCTTATTGCTAACCATCTGATAACATTATGCATTTTGGTGAAAATACAAACAAATGTAGTAAATGTTAACGTTGCATTTTGGTGTTAATCTACCCAATAAAAAGTAAGTATTTAAATATATAATCATCATAAAAGAATGATTTGGTTGCCCTAAGAGCACCATTAATAAGAGTGCTTAAGAGAGGTGTTTAGTGTTTTCTGTCAATGGGTCCCAAACAAAAGTATAAGCACCTCTTCTTAGAGTGCTTAAATAAGCACCCTAGTTGTTTACATTGTTCATGGATTCCACTAAAACGTGTGACAGTCACTCGTTTTATTTATTTTTATTTTTTAGAAAAAAATCAGACAAAAAAAGAAAAAAGTAAGCATTCAAATTGGATGTTCGGGTTGAGGATGCTCTAAAGATCGAGAATCAAAGTACTAAACAAGACAAACAAACACCACCAAAACTCAATTGTAAAGACCATAGAGAAAGCAATTAGCTATTGAAAGATCATGGAGATACCTTGAACAGGAGGAGGAGTAAGAGAGGTGTCAAGTTCAGACAAACCAGAGGAACCACTTCCAGAAGATCCTTCTTCAACAATCATCTCTTCTTCTCCTCCACCAGCTTTGTGTTTCTTTTCCCTAAGTACTCTCACGTTTCTCTGCTTCTCTAACCTCTTTCTCTTCGCCTCAAGCCTCCTCAAGCTCTGCAACTCCTTCCTCCTCCTCCACTCCTCCGTCTTCACAGGCAACGAGCAAGTCCTACTCAGCTCCGTTCTACCACCGTTGACCACAAGATCAGGAATAGAAGAAGACCTCGTGAGCAGCCTCGTCTTCGCAAGTGGGTCCACACCAAACCTACCGTTTAGAGATAGCCCTAAGTCTAGCTCAATCTCTACCTCTCCGTCTTGGATCAACGTCTTCTGTTTCTTGGACATGAACCTCTGCAGCAGATCTCTAGAGCTCTCTTTCTTAGACATGCTAAACTTTTGGTAAACTTCAATAGATTCTTGATAAAAAGCAATTCAAATCCCAAGAAACGAGGTAATATCTATTTTGGAAGATTCCATTTCTTCAACTTGTGACCTTTCCTTTATTTAAATAATTCCTCCAATTTCAACATTTTTTACCGAAATTTTCTCCGACAAATCTCGAACGAACACTGAATATTAAGGAAAATGAATAAATCCAAAATGAATATGAATACCGAAAGTACACTTTGTTTGGTGCAATAACGACACGTGAAATCATGGCGAGGACTTTTAGAGCACCCACGTGGTGTTCCGGAATTTAGACATCGAGAAACAAAATCAAGACTCGTAGACGTGTCTTATGTTCAGTGGTAATCACGTTGCAAGATGTGGATTTAGGAGCGACAGCTCGTCACGTGTCATTGTTCTTTATTACCAATCACATTATCTTCTGCTTCGTAGCGTGTCACTCTTCACAGTTTGACACGTGGGAATTGGATATAAAACTTATTGTTCGTGGAAAAAGAAAAGACTTTTTGTTTAAGTAAACGCAACAAGACATGAGTTTTAACGAATGTGTATTTTTTTTCAAACGAATTAGTGTTCAAAATATCATGTTTGTTTTAAATTGTTTTTCTTCTACGGATTTGTGCATTGAAGTAACGAATCTACCAAAGTATCTGTATCTTAGATACGCTGAACACATGGACCAATCCACCATTCAAAACTCATATATTGTTATATTGTGAAATGTTATATGTAGATACCAGACTTACCAGTCAAAACAATTAGGACACAAAATTCAAAAAAATAAGAAGAGAAAGCATGTGAAAGATTCGTATTGAATTTGACAACAACAAAAGTAAAGATACGATGTGAATTTTCACGGAATAAGAGAATCTCTAGACAACACGCAAGAGATCAACAAGAGAGCAGATCACACCAGTTTACCCTTTTTGACTCAACTTGCAAAATCTATCGACGCCATTCCTCTAGATGTTTGACACATGTGCACACTCGACAGTCACACACATGTTTCCCTCTGATAGCTTCACACCAGCTAAGCAAAGCAAACCAAACCAAATTATAAAGATAAAAGTGCCAAGAAACAAAACAAAAATAATCTGGCGTGTTAACCCATTTTATGTTCACTTCCTCAAACTTTGAAATATGGATTTATAGACGTAGTAAATACAGTAATAGGCATGGGCATTCGAGGTCCCATTCGGGTTTCGGTTTTGTCCAATCGGGTCTCGGTTCTTCGGGTTTATCAAATCAGCCACATTCGGATTATTTGAAAGTTCGGTTCGGAATCGGTTCGGGTTCTATCGAGTTCGGGTCGGGGTTAGTAAATCTTTGAAGAACCGGTACAACCCATTATACTTTCGGATTCTGGTCCCAATCGGTTCTTTGGTTTAAAAATACTTGATTTGTACCTACTTTGTAACTAAAACATAAGTAAAATTGGTTCTTCAGATTTAAAGTACCTAATGTGTAACTATTTTAAAACCAAAACATAAGTAAAATTGATTCATAAATAAGAAAGGAATATCAAATTTGATCATTCAAAATCAAATGAAAGGTAAACATAGTTATTAATAGAAAGAAAACCAAATAAATGAAAGCATAAAACGAAAAACCAAGTTCTTAAAGAATGAGAAACATTATTCAGTAATAACAAAACCTTAATCTATAAATTTTAAGTTTCAACCGCCATCTTCAACCATCAACCTTCATGTAATAGATAATTATTTTAGATAATTAGTAATATCTTAAAATATTTTGATATATATTAGGAATTAAGATCATGTTTGGTACACATTCTTATTAAAAATTTTGAATGTTTCGGGTTCTATCGGATATCCATTTAATTTCGGGTTTGGTTCGGATAATACCTATAACCCGAAATACCAAAAAACAAGATCCATTCGGTGTGTAAATCAGGTTCATATCGGGTTCGATTCGGATTTTCGGGTTTGGTTTATTTGCCCAGCCCTATACAGTAACATCATACATGGTTAATCTATATTATAATAGTACACTTTCTAGGCTCCACAACGCGCCACGTCAGCAGTTTTGTGGGTCCCATAGGTATTTTTTAAAAACTTATAGTCTTAGTAAGATGATTACAAACAATGAAATACACTTTAGCCAAGTAGTATAATGTGTCTAAGTAAGTATGCAAGATCGTGGGTTCAAACCACGCAGCCATCATTTATTTTTGATTTTTTATTTGGGTTATTATCATATGGATTTTTTGTTTGTAAGGTTTTTATGTTTTTTTATGACTTATTGTTTTAAAGATCAAAATAGTTGGATAAACCCTAAAGCTTAACGAGTTCAAACTAAAAATAGTTAAAAATAGATGCAAAAAACAAAAAATAAAAAAACAAAAAAAAAGTAAGTCTCACGCGGTTGCCTACGCGGATGGCTTAAAGAGCCTTAAAACTATCCTATTGTAATATAGTTCAACCCAAAAATAATAAAAAATGAATCCAAAAACAAACCGACCAAAAAAAAAAGTGAATCTCACGCGGCTACCTACGTGGATGGCTTAATGAGACTTGAATAATATAGATTAAGAGCTCAAAAAGTGAAATCATTGCACATATTTCCTAATATATATTTTCAAAAAATTGTATGTGAGATAAAATAAAAAAACAACAAAAATTAATTATTTTTGTTATTTATTTAATGAATATGTAATTTCTCTTACATTTTAATAACTACTCTAGTTTCATTGAAAACATTCGTCACCACCGATTTCAGACTCCGGCGAATGGATTCCCACAGTCGATGACGCCGTAAATAAAAATGCCATATCATTTATGAACAAAACTCAAACTTACAAAAAAACATATATAAAAACCTATCTAATGAAACTTATACAGCGAATGTTAACTTAATTAAAGTTATTTTCAAATTGATAAATCATTTAATACAAATATAAATACTATAAATATAGAATTATATCAAGTTTTGACATACGGTATAAAAACTATTTACAGCAAAAAATAAAACAGCTACTTTTACACACTAAAAACTATATTATAGCATAATTATTCCTATAAACTTACTTCGCATATAAATAACATTTAACGCGTTCCTAATATATTTTCAAAAAATTTGTATGTAAAATAAAATAAAATAAACAACAAAATTTAAGTATTTTTCGGTATTTATTAAATGAATATGTAATTTCTCTTACATTTTAATAACTACTATAATTTCATTGATAACATTCCTCACCACCGACTCTAGACTTCGGCGAATGGATTCCTCGATGACGCCGTAGATAAAAATGCCCCATCATGTATGAAAAAAACCCAAACTTACAAAAAACCATATATAAAAACCTATCTAATGAAACTTAAACAACGAATATTAACTTAATTAAGGTTATTTTTAAATTGATAAATCGTTTAATACAAATATAAATACTATAAATATAGAATTATATCAAGTTTTGACATACGATATAAAAACTATTTACAGCAAAAAAAAAAAAAAATAGACACCTACTTTTACACACTAAAAACTATATTATAACCTAACTGTTTCTATAAACCTTGCTTCGCATATAAATAACATTTAATACATTAGATATACAATATTTTCACTTTACACTCTTACTACATTCTTTCCATTCCATTAATATTTGGTGTCATTAGAAGAATCCACTAAACCACTAAATCGAAAAAATAGACGCAAACATAATGATTCCGGTCCCGCGCGCGGGGAGTATGCAACTAGTAATATTAAGGAAGTGTGGCGATTGTTTCTATGGGCCTAACTCAAAGTAAATATGGGCCATATGTCGAAATACATTGGACCTTTTTAACCTTATTTTAAAAAAAAACTTCTCTTATTTCTCATTTTAGTTTCAACCCGCGGGAAAATAACGAACCAAACCGTCCCACGTCATCCTTCTTAAAGCAAAGCCCAATCTCAACACCACCACTTCCATCTCCACTTTCCGACAACGAAACCGACATGTCTTTATCAATCGTAACTATCTCAACCTTAACCGGTTTTCCCCACCCGAAATCCGACCCGTAAATCCCCAACCGGGTCGACCCGGCTACTGATATCATCTGTCTACCCGGTTCCATCCTCTTAAACGCCTCAAACGGAGAAAGCATATTCTTCTCAATATTCTCCGGACACAACCCGTTGACCCACCCGCTCAAACTCTCCACCGCCGAGATGAAACCTTTCCCTTCTTCTCCTCCCAAGATTGGCTCCGCCTCCGCGTCGAAGTCTCCGGCGCCGACGATGCAGTTGCCGAAATACGTCGACGGCAACGGAGGGTTTAGCCGTGAACGAAAGTCCGATGCGAAACCTATGCACACGCGCCGGGTCGGGTCACCTCCACGCGCTTTGACCAGACATGTGATGACGTAAGCGTAAGTGATGACGAAAGTGGAAAGACGCAGCTCGGTTCGTGACTCGGTCTCGACTCGTTCGCGTAGGGTCTGGATGTTTTCACGAGTCAAACGGTACGTGACTCGGACGATCTCGGGTCCTATATCCTTGGAAGGGAACAGCTTTAAGCTTGGTTTGTTGTCGGAAGCCGACATCCACCGGTTCAAGAGTTTTGTCTCGAGTCCGGTCGGGTCTTTGACAACCGTACGATCGATAAAAGGGGTAAGATCGTGCGGTAGAGGATCTTGTTCGTTTTTGCAGTTGTGGGCCCATGCTTTGAGAAACATGGCTGTCGTTTTTCCGTCTAAAACGGCATGGTGTGCGGTCACGCCGAGAGAAAACCCTTGGTTTGGGAAGAAAGTTATCTGAACGGCGAGAACACGAGCTGACTCGTCGGAGACAGGTAACTCGGGGACTAAAGGATGAAACTCGGTGGCGGTGCGAGGTTTGTCGCCGGTGAGACGGGAGAGATCGCCGTTGGATTCAGCCACCGTGACGTGGACAGCATCTTCGTTGTCAAGAGAGTAGACTATGGAGGGTTTTGTGTCTTTTGGATTCCACACGAGGCGGCCGGCGAGTGGGAGATAGTGGAGGAGTGTGGCGGAGAGAGAGGATTTGAGTTTAGATACGAGGACTGAGCGAGTTAACTCGGGGACGCGGTAGAAAAGAAGGCGGTCAACGGGGTGGAGTTTGAGCCAACCCAAGTCAAAGAAAGTGAGTGGAAGTGTGACTGAGTCAGAAGGTGGTGGGCTAACTCGGACCACCTCGAGTATGTTAACGGTTGGGTTGGAATGCACCATGACTTTGGTATTAATGTAATTAAACTTATTTGTTTGACTTTTGCTTTGTGAGTGTTGGACTATATGTATAGGCGAACTTGGAGGTTGTGGTCTTTGTTACTTACTTCTCTCCCAAGAAAAAGCAACCACCTGTTAGGTTTGCTGTGAAATTGCACACTTTAACCAACCGGTGGGTGTATATCTAATATTTTCATTCAAAATTCATGATAAAGCAAATTAGTATATTTTGCTTCTATTTGCTTCTAAGTTTATATCACAAGAGTTCCAAAATACGTTAATTTCTTACAACAATTAGATAACAAATGCTAAAAAGACATAGTTTTGAAATAAACCTTTTATAATTCGTTGGCCACACATATATGGCTAGATTATTGTCTCCGGTTAATGCGAACTCTAGTCGTTTTTACGTACCAAATAACTACAATATCTATAACAAGTGGAACACTAGAATATGACTCTGACTTTAGATTCAAACCAGCTTTCCTATAAGCATGTGGGCACGTATGTTTGGTAAGACGATTTCTTTTTTTTTTTTTTGAACAACGTAAGACGATTTCTAAGTTGTGTGTTTAATTTATAAATATGAGATGTATTAGTATCAATCTAGATTCAAACTTTAACGTTATACAATTTGCAGGTTAAAATGTTTTTTACTGAACCACTATATTTTGTTTTGGCAAAAAGAAAAAGTGTTTGTCAATATGTTTTCTTTCAGGAAGATATATTTAAACAACTCCACTTTTTCACATCAACTTTGAAGTTCATTTTTCTTAAAAATGTCGTGAAGTTAGCATCTGAATTATACGTAATAAGGTTACTTATGCAAAAATAGAATTTTCACGGAAAACTAACACTACAATAAATAGCATAACTACATACTCATACACAAAAGGGACAAGTTTTGTTTCAAAGTAATGCTTTTGAAATTGAAACATGTAGGGTGTTAAAGAAAATTGACTTATTCTTGGGTTCACCCCCTAGGGTGAACCTCTAGGTTCACCAACCAATAGAATGATGTTATTTCATATTTGATATCTTTTAAAAAAAGAAATAAAATCTTGTTAAGTTATATTATGTTTGTAAAATAAAAATAAATAAAATAAATAAAATAATAATATTTGAAAAAAACGAAATTTTTTTAAAAACTATTTTAACATTATATTATCTTTTTAAATTAAAAAGATAAAAATAAAATAAAAACAGTAATAATAGCAAAAAACAATTTTAAAAAATATTTTAATATATCATTAAAATGAAAACAAAATATTGTTAAATTATATTAATTTTATTGATTTAATATTTAAAAATCGAAAAAATAAGGGAAAAATAAATAAAAACAGTATAATTGGTTAGTATTAATTTAATTGATTTAATGTTTAAGATTTTTCCAAAGGGTTTATGATTTACCCAAAGGTTTAGGGTTTCAGGATTAGGATTTAGGGTTTAGTGTTTATGATTTACCCAAGGGTTTAGGGTTTACGATTAGAGTTTAGGGGTTAGTGTTTTAGTGTTAAAATAATTTTTAAAATTTTTTTTATAAAAGTTATCTAAAAATTTATGATTTACCCAAGGGTTTAGAGTTTAGGATTAGAGTTTAGGGTTTAGTGTTAAAATATTTTTTAAATGATTTTCGTTTTTATTAATATTATTATTTATTATTTATTTTTGTATTTTTATTTTTAAAGACATAATATAATTTAGCAAGATTTTGTTTCCTTTTTTGAAAGATATCAAATATGAAATAATGCAATACTATTGGATGGTGAATCTAGAGGTTCACCCTAGGGGGTGAACCTAAGAATAACTCAAGAAAATTTATATCTTTGGTTTCTTTAAAAAGACAACTGTTATTTTTTTTTAAAGAAAAAATTGCATGCATGCAGCGTTAAATACGTGATGCAATTATTCCTAAACCATTTTCAAACAGAGAAATAAAAGTTTCCATCTCACTCTTCTTCAAACACAAACCAATCTCAGCGCCACCGATCTCATCCCTCCTCTCCAACATAGAAAACGCTGGATACCTATCAATGGACACAATCTCATGGTTAACCGGTTTTCCCCACCCGAAATCCGCCCCGTAAAACCCCATCCGGGTCGACCCAGAGACAGACTCAACATAAGTATCCGGTTTCACTTGCTTCATTCCATCAAAGTAGGATTCCCAAAGTGCTTCAATCCCTCTTGAACCCACACCTATAACTGAGTCACTAAGAATCTCAACAGCGTTAATAAAACCATTTCTTCCCAATAACTTATTTGCTTTGTAGCCAATGCAATTGATAAGGACCACACAATTCCCCAAGTACCTTTCAGGAACCGGTGGATCTAACCGGTTCCTGAAATCAGCTGCGTACATGAAGAGCAACGGTCTCTCTTTGCTGCCTCCACGCGCCTTCACCAGGCAGCTCCAGATATAGGCGTTTACTATAACGAACGTTGATAAATGTAGCTCATGCTGAGAACGAGTTGACTCTCTCTTCACTTGCTCTTTGAGTTTGTTGACTTTCTCCTGAGTCAGCTCTAGTGTGATCCTAACAAGGTCGTTACAAATCTCTCCCACTTGAAGCGGCTTCATGGTTCTCTTCCCATCTTTTTCATCTAAAAAGTATGACACGTATTCCAAAATCTTGGATTCAAGACTGGACCGAACTTTGATGAGAGTACGATCAATTATTGGAGTAAAGTCACTAGGTAAAGTCATTGTTCCGTGTCCCAATGATTTACAAATGTGACCCCATGCTTTGATAAACATTATAGATCCTACACCATCCTTCAAAACATGATGTTCTGCTAGACCGATGCAAAAACCTTGGTTAGGGAACAATGTGATTTGTAGAGAATATAGAGATGTAGAGTCACACGAAACCGATAACTCCGGCACCAAGACACGTAAATGCCTTTGTTGACGTAGTCCCTTGCTGGAAATAAAGTGAAAATCAGCGTTGGACTCAGCTACTGTTAGTGAGACAGTGTCGTGGCTGAAAACAACAATGTGGGGCTTAGAATCTTGTAGGTTCCACTTGAGGTGACCAGCCAATGGGAAGTAGTGGTGGAGGACGAGGGAGAGAGATGACTCGAGCTTAGGGAGGATCACGGAGTGGAAAAACTTGCGAGATGACTCTGATAGTTTGTAGAAGATGACTTGCTGTGTAGGATGAGATCTTACCCACCTCAAGTCGTAATAGGTGAGTGGGAGAATGAATGGGTCTGCTGAGTCGCGGGACGAATCAGTTGCGGGGCTGACTCGGGTGATCTTGATTACTTTTACCTCCATTGATGAAGATAATAAGAGTTGGATGTTGGACTCTAGTTTAGTTTAAGGGAGATATAAAGCTTTCATCAAAATGCAAACGCCGTTTGACTTTTTAAAATGAGTCAAATTGTTATATAATTTGAAGTCAAACATTAAATTGGGATACCTATATATGGTAACGTGAAACACCAGCTGTTGACATGTGAAGATTAGTTCTGTCCACAAAGGAACTTAAGATTTTCTTTTAAAGGAAACTTTCGAATTTTTGAATCCTTGTTACTGATGAGAAAGAAAAACAAAACTTTCTCTAGATAGTAAGCCAAAAAGACTTACAGTTCTGATATAAACCTTTTTGTAATTCATTCATACATTATGATGTTACGCGAGATGCGTATTTTCTGCAATAACGAACTTTAGTCTTTTATAAAACAAATATCTATGACAAGTGGAGTAATAGAATGTGATTTTGGTTTTAGATTCAAACCAGCTGGCCTACATCATGTGGATTTGTTTGGGAAGACATTTGATAAGGTATGTGGGTATAATTTATTTATTTGAGATGCTTTAGGTATCAATCTAGATTCACACCACATATATTTTTTTTGATATAAACAACTATATATTTTGTTTAAGACCTTGGAGTTTGTCAACATGGGCAGATGGAAAAATGGTATATAGATAATTTTTTGACTAATTACTTAAACAAAATAATTTCATAAAGAAACACAAAAAGGGATGGTGTGTCTACCAATATTAATTTAATTATAACAAGTTTTATTTCAAATAATGCGTTGGAATAGTAAAAAATGTAGGGCATTACAAAACAATTGTTGTTTTGATACAATAATTGAAGGGTGTTAACCGGGAAAATAACTTTCCCATCACACACTTTGTGATTCAATTATTTCCAAACCATGTTTAAACAAAGAAATAAAAGGCTCCATCTCACTTTTCTTCAAACACAAACCAATCTCAGCACCATCAGTCTCATCCCTCCTCTCCCACATCGAATACGCTGGATACTTATCAATTGACACAATCTCATGGTTAACCGGTTTTCCCCACCCAAAATCCGCCTTGTAAAACCCTAACCGGTTTGACCCAGAGACAGACTCAACATGAGTATCCGTTTGCACTTGCTTCATTCCATCAAAGTAAGACTCCAAAAGTTCTTCAGTCCCTTGTGAACCCAAACCTTTAACCGAGTCGCTAAGAATCTCAACCGCATTGATAAAACCATCTCTTCCCAATAATTTATTTGCTTTGTAACCAATGCAATTTATAAGAACCAAACAATTCCCCAAGTACCTCTTGGGAATATCTAACCGGTTCCTACAATCAGCTGCATACATGAAACGTAATGGTCTCTCTTCGTTGACTCCACGTGCCTTCACTAGACAGCTCCAAACATAGGCGTTTACTATAACAAACGTTGATAAATGAGTTGACTCTCGCGTGACTTGCTCTTTGAGTTTATCGACTGTCTCCTGAGTCATCTCTAGTGTGATTCGAACAAGGTCGTTACAAATCTCCCCCACTTGAGGCGGCTTCATGGTCCGCTTCCCATTTTTTTCATCCAAGAAGTACGACATGGACTCCAAAACCTTGGATTCAAAACTAGGCCGAACATTGATGAGGGTACGATCTATTATTGGAGTAAACTCCTTTGGAAGACTAGTTAAATTCATTGCCACGTGGTCCAATGATTTACAAACGTGAGCCCATGCATTGATGAACATTATAGATCCTGTACCGTCTTTCAAAACATGATGTTCTGCTAAGCCGATGCAAAACCCTTGGTTTGGGAACAACGTGATTTGCAAAGCATATAGAGATGCTGAGTCACAAGAAATCGATAGCTCAGGGACCAAGACACGTAACTCTGACTGGGGACGTAGCCCTTTGCTGGATATAAAGTGAAAATCAGCGTTGGACTCGGATACTGTTAGTTTGACAGTGTCGTGGTGGGAGACAATGACTCGGGGCTTAGGGTCTTGTTGGTTCCACGTGAGGTGACCAGCTAAAGGGATGTAGTGGCGGAGTGCGAGGGAGAGAGAGCGCTCGAGCTTAGGGAGGAGTACGGAGTGGAAAAACTCGTGTGATAGGTGTGGGAGTTTGTAGAAGATGACTTGCTGTGAAGGGTATGATCTTACCCAACGTAAGTCGAGGAAGGTGAGTGGGAGGATGAATGGGTCGAGAGAGTCGTGGGCCGGATCAGTTGCGGGGCTGATGTGGGAGATCTTGATTACTTTTGGCTCCATTGATGATGTTCAACACTAGTTGTTTTTTAAGGAGATATATAGAGTTTTTATCAAATGCAAACGCAGTGTGTTTTAGGCATTGATTGGTAACCATGCGGAATGGCGGAATGGCTTATGAAACGCGATTCCGCAAGAATTTTGCCAATCAACAAAATGTTGCGGAATGAAAAAAAAACGCAAAAACGCAAGTTTGCGTTTTTGCTGACAAAAATATAAAGAGAAATTTTATTAAGTGGAAAAGTGAGTTTTAGTAGATTATGGTGGAAAGATTTAC